GTAGCCACTTAATCCAGTCTAATTGGGAAAAACATTGTAGAGAAAATGTTTTTTTTAAAAAAAAAAAAAAATCAGAAATTCAATTCTTTTTCTTGGTTTAAGTCAATTTTTCTAATGTCTTTCGTTATTTTTTTCAAAATTGCCGAAGTCCTTTTTATTCGTCAAAATCATCATTATTGAGTTTGAGTAGTCTAGTTTCAAAGTAGAACTTCCAAATTCATGATAAATTATTTTTTAAAATTATTGATGAAAACAAATAATTTATTATTTAATATGTGATGTTATCATATATAAAAAATTCATCTGCTACCTAAAAATGTGTTTAACAAAAAAAAAAAAAAATTAACGTGTAACAAAATGCCCCAAGATTTCTGCTTCTCAAAGAGATGCAGAAAGAGATGAAAGATATAAAGCTTCCAAATTCTCTGTTAATCTCTAGATTTTTTTTCCATGTAGTTAGCACATCTCAGATCCCACAAGATTTCTGCATCTCAAAAATTTCTAAAGCTACAATCAATTTTTTTTTTTTAACAAAAGAAAAATTTATAAAGCTATTGCTAGATCTTTTATTAATAAAAAATTTCTAACATACTTATACCTTTATTAGTTTTCTTAGCAAGGTAGCTATCTGTAGAAAGACCTACTAAACAACTTTTTATCCTCAGCCACAGGATAAAATGCCCCCAATTATTTTGCTCCTGTAAAGGACCGAACCCCTATTTCAAAGTTTAACCAGATTATGAACGTCAATACTTACATATTATTATGGTAATAGTATTTACTCCCATAAAAAAAATAGTAGTGGTATTTACTTTGTTTTGATCTATTGATATCGATAATAATTTCAAATATTCGCTTCATTATTTCAGATCAAATTAGTTGTTCAAACACAATGGAACCCATCCTGTCCGTGGTTGCTGAACCTCTTTTGTCAGCTACTTTTGTTTGGATGCTCCAGAAGTTGGGTGGTGTCATTTCCAGCAATTCTCAGGGATTACAGGAAGAGGTCCTTGATAATTTGAAAAATTGGAGGACCTTGCTACCGCAAATCTGTGGTTTGCTCAGACATGCAGAAGAGAAGGAACTCTATGACAATTTCGTGAAGATCTGGCTTGATGATCTCAAGGACTTGGCTTATGATATGGAGGACGTTTTTGAGGAATTAAAGGCTGATATTGATGTTCAGTGGAGCAACTTGATAGCAAAACCTCAACAAGCCAGCAGCAGCAAATTTATCCCACCTACATGCTTCTCTTGTTTCAAAGGCAATGATTTCAAGTTTGATTCCGACATTACTTCTAAGGTGAAGGATATTTCTAACAGGTTGAAAGGCATGGTAGACACATCCACTGCACTAGGACTAGTGAGTTTAAAAGTGCAAGTTCGAGAACGGCCCAATAGAGGAGATGCAGTAAGGCTCACCACTTCTCTGCCTGATTCTCATGTTTGTGGTCGAGAGAGTGACAAAGCAGACATTCTTCGGGAGTTGTTCAATGATGAAGGGAGTGATAAAGGATATTCTGTAATTCCCATTGTTGGAATGGGAGGTGTTGGAAAAACAACATTGGCTCGACTTGTTTACAATGAGGTGAAAGAGGGATGCTTTGAACCTAAAGTATGGGTTTGTGTGTCCAATCAATTCGATATTTTGAGCATAACAAGAAGAATTTTAGAGGCAGTATCTAATGACCGGCGTGATTTGAAGGATCTTAATCTGCTTCAGGAAGAATTGAAGGAAAAATTATCTTCTAAGAAGTTTCTTCTTGTTTTGGATGACGTTTGGAATGACGTCCACCAAGAATGGGAGACCCTGCAAAAACCTTTCAAATCAGGATTAGCTGGAAGCAAAATAATAGTCACAACTCGTAATGAGCGTGTTGCAGTAATCATGGGTGGGAAAGACAAGATTTGCCAGCTAAAAGAATTAGAATTTGAACAATGCTTGCCAATTTTAGCTCGGCATGCCTTAGGAGAAGAAAACTTTGATGCACATGGAAGTTTGAAAGAAGTTGGAGAAGAAATTGTTAAAAGGTGCAACGGATTGCCATTGGTTGCCGAAGTCCTAGGGGGTCTCTTATGTGGTAAGCCTGAAGTTGAAGATTGGAAATACATATTAAACAATAAAATGTTGAATTTGCAAGTGGGCAAAAACGGGATTTTGCCACCCTTGATGCTGAGCTACCATGATCTTCCTTCTTATTTGAAGCAATGTTTTGCATGTTGTGCTTTGTTTCCTAAGGACTACCCATTTAAGGAGGATGAGTTAGTTATGTTGTGGATGGCAGAGGGACTCTTGCAGCAACAACCGGGGGAGCAAAATAGATTGGAAGAAATTGGGCATCAATATTTCCGTGAGTTACTTTCAAAATCGTTTTTTCAGCAGTCAAGTGGGAATGAATTAGAGTATGTAATGCATGATCTAATACATGATTTAGCTCAATTTGTTGCTGGAAGAACATGCTACAACCTAGATGTTATCTTGAAGGATAATAAGAAACTTGAAGTGCAATTTGAGAAGGTCCGTCATTTATCATTCCCCTGTGATAATTATGGTATCTCTGAGAAATTCAAAGTTTTGAATGAAATGAAGAGTTTACGGACGATGATTCCTGCTAATCCAGAAGCTGCTTGGTGCCATTTATCAAAGACAGTGGTGCTTGATTGGATACCAAAATTAAGGTGCTTAAGGGCATTATCTCTTCAAGGTTATCAGATAAGAAAACTACCAGATTCAATCAGAGATTTAAAATGTTTAAAGTACATTAATTTGTCTGAAACTAGGATACAAAGTCTACCTGAATCAATAGTTTTCCTCCTCCAGTTACAGACATTGTTGTTATTCAACTGTAGAAGCTTTTCAAAGTTTCCTGTGGAAATTGGGAACTTAATTAACCTCCATCATCTGGACATTAGGGGAACAGATTCCTTGAAAGAGATGCCATCCGGAATAGCTAATCTCAAAGATCTGTTGACACTGGGCAAATTCATTGTGGGGAAGGAAAATGGATCGATGAAATTATCTGATTTGAATAACTTTTTGCAGCTGGAAGGAGCACTCTCTATTCTAGATTTGCATAATGTATTGGATGTTCATGATGCTAGGAAGGCCAGCCTGGACAAGATTGATGGTCTTGATTGGTTGCTCTTGCAATGGACTTCTGAATTTAGCAATTCTAGGAATGAAGACAAGGAAATGGAGGTCCTTAGCAGGTTAAAACCACATCTAAAATTGAAAAGTCTCTCAATTATTTGCTATGGTGGCAAGGAATTCCCGTCCTGGTTTAGTTGTCCGTCATTTTCTCATTTATCATACTTGAAGCTGTGCAAGTGTAGAAGAAGCACTTCGTTACCATCACTGGGGCAATTACCAGCACTCAAAGAATTGATTGTGGAAGGCATGGATGCAATAGAAACGGCTGATTCTAAGTTTTATGGGCATGGCACTTTTCAAGCTCTTGAGAAGCTGAAGTTTCGTGACATGTTAGCTTGGCAGGAATGGACTTCAACAACAGAAGGTGGAGTGGGATTCCAATGTCTTTGTGAGCTTGTGATTGAAAATTGTCCTGTATTGATGGGAGAATTACCGAGCCACTTGTCTTGTCTTATAAGTCTTGTGATCAGAAGATGCCCAGAATTAAGATGCCCATCATCATCCATGAGTCTTCAATCACTACAAAAGCTGAATATTGAAGACTGTAATGCGGCCCTTTTAAATAGCATGGCTGATCTCACCTCTCTTACTGGCTTGGAAATTAAGAGAATTTCAGAACTGGTTTGCTTGCGTAAGAGTTTTATTGAGTCCTTGATAGCAGTTGAGAAGCTGGAGATTGAAGAATGCCCTGAGCTTACTTGTTTATGGGAGGAAGGTGCTGAGGTACAAAACCTTGCTTGTCTTGAGAAAATGAACATTAAAGGCTGTCCTCTTCTTGTTTCATTGACGGGGAAAGAACAGGGCCTTCTTCCTTTCAATCTTAAACGTCTCACCCTCTCAAGCTGCAAGGCTCTAGAGTCATTGACTGATGCGATGATGATGAAGGTAGATGGAAGCAGTAGCAGCAACAACATGTTGAGACTTGAATCATTAAGCATCTACAATTGTGATTCTCTCAAGTCTTTACCCACCACCACGGTTAAACACTTGACAATTAATAAATGTGCAAATTTTGCGTCTTTACCAGATGGAGTATTATTGCAAGATGATGGTGACAGCAATAGCAATCTTGAATCTTTGACAATAGATGGACTTCCATCTCTAAATTCTGTTGGGAGTGGTCGTCTGCCCGCTTCTCTCAAGGTATTTATTGTTGACGATTGCAAGAGGTTGGAATCATTTCCAGAGAGGATGCTGCAACATTGTACGGAAGTTGAATGCATTCGAATTGTGGATTGTGAAGTATTGAGAAGCTTGTCACTTGATGGCCTCAGCAATCTTCGTGCTTTGAACATTAGAAGGTGTGCAGTTTTAGAATTCTTCCCAGAAATGGGCCTCTCCTTGCCCAATCTTAGGTCTTTGACAATTGTAGACTGTCCAGGGTTGGAGGGCATTCTAGATGGGGGTTTTCCCCCAAACTTAACAGATCTTTACTTAGACTTTGAGCATCTGAAGCAGCCGGTAGTGAAACGGGGCCTCCGCAATCTTACCTCTCTTCAAAGCTTTAGCATTTATAACACGTGTCATCCTCTTCTGGATATTGTGCTTCCTTCTTCTTTAACATCTCTATACATAGAAAATGCAAAGAATCTGAAATCCATACCCAGAGGGCTCCTCCAAAACCTCAACTCTCTTCAATCTTTATGGATTTGGGACTGCCCAAAGCTACGGTCCTTGCCGAGGGAAGGCCTGCCTCCGTCGCTTGGATTTCTCACGATCGTTCGGTGTCCACATCTAAAACTTCAACGCTTTGAGGAGAAAGGAGAATATTGGTCTCTCACCCGTACCATCCCTCGCGTCCAAATAGATTTATATGAGGTAAAACCTACACTCAAACTCACACTCTGATGTAGAGACAAACAAGGATAGCCTCTTCTTCTTCTTCTTCTAATTGTTGGAAGCTAACTTTTCTTACACATATTCATCAGCTATAACCACCAAAGCCAATTGTTACCTAAGCGAAATCTGGAATGAAGATACAGACTTATTACTGAGGTATATTCTTTTCTTTTTAATAGCTTAAATTATAATATATCTGCATATTGTTACACTACTTCTCTTTTTATTGATAAATTTGGAGAGCTTGTGATTAATGCATCTTAAAATTAAGGAGGCGGCTATATTAATGCATCTTACAGAAGCAAATAACAATAATAGGATGTATTGTTGAGAATGCTGTCTTTTAATTGTTGTCATTTTTTCTTATACTATTCTTTGGCCTAGGTTGTGATTTGTGAATTTGTTCTTCCGTTTAGATGCATTGTAGAATTGATTGTAAAGTAGTGCAGATTGACAAATTCTTTGAAAATATAAGTAAATGAGTTTCGAATGTTCTTTTCAAAGGAAAGATTAGATGCTGGATGTTAGGTTATATTAAGCTATGTGTTCTATCATGCTTCAGCAAATAAAAAAGAATATTGGGGGATGAAATAAGTGAGAAAAGCTTTCTATAAGCATGCACCTTGCTCTGCTAAGGATTTGCACATCGATTTACCTCCCTGAACGCTAAAGTAGCTAACCTTTTGAATCCACTTAAAATTCTGTATCAATCTCTTTCCTCAGCAGTATGCAGCCCATCAAAGCCCTTGCATTGGTAATGCTTGTCGAGGGTTACTAACAGTTCTATCTTAATTAGGTACCATATTACTACCAGAACACTACTTGGGAAACCTATATTTTTGGAGATAGCTTCCTTGTAGATACCATGATTCTTGTGCCCGGGCTCAGTTTGCGAATTGTGTGTGCAGAACCAACTTTTCCATTTGATCTAGGGTGGGGAGCCGACCAGACAGGCCAGTAGACCAAGTTGTTGTTCTTTGGCAATGTTTAATTCTCAGTTATGTCCAGTTAGCTTAAACAATTGTAAGTGCAACTTTGCAAGAACACCATTTTACTTGTAAATACTATAAAATCGTCCTCTAGTTCTAAGTTGCACCTTATTTTTTTTTATCTCACTGTTTTCTTAATTCATCCCCAACTGATGTAAGTGCAACATCACTGTTGAAATTCTTAGATGCTGCACCTAATAAGAAGACATATTCTACATCACTTTCTAAAAGTCTCTTACTTTAAATGTCCCCACCCCCCCTTTTTTTGCAAGAAATGGATCTGATTCGGGTTTTTTTCTCCAACTTCTCTTAACTTATATTAAAGACAATTTAAGGATATGAAGACAGATGTCTGGTGTCATGCTACCTTCTGAGTAGGAGGCAACATTTCTGGCAGTAGCTAAGAAATAAACAGTCCAATAATGGTCATCCTTACAGGCAAGCGTAGAGAGCAAAAAACAGCTGCATTGACCACTTCTTTGTTTAACTATGGTCTTATTTGGGGATTTAGTTTTGACATTAATGTAATGTGAAGACAACAAGAGGCGCCTCTGGGTACCCATCATGGTCATAGCAACAAATTTCTCCTGGTAATGCACAATCCTCTTTTATGACACTTTGATCTCTCTCAGTCTGTTTCTCTAATGCTGCAATGCATCTCTTCAGTTTCAGGTTAAGACAATTCAACTATAAAAGGCTTGCCTTGTAAATTTTAAAAATCTCCAATTATGTGATCCTATGGACGTCATTGCTTGGAAGTCCTGACTGCTTTCTTCTCTTCAACTGCACTCACTGCAGATATCCATCAAGGTTGTTGTTATTGTTGTTGTTGTTTTCTTCTTTTTTTTTAATCTAATATGTTAAATGTATGCAAATCTGCTCGTTTTTTATATTTCCAGATGCATACATACATTGATCACTTTGGTAACTCTATACTATCTTTGATATATATATTGGTAACATCTTCCCAGTCATAGTTTCCAAAGATATATGTTTTCTTATTGAATTTAAGATGTTTGTCATAGAGAAAACATGCACCTATCTCATGATCGACGAATTGTTGATGTTCTTTAATGGTTTATATCAGGGTTTTGAAGCTGCTATTGCAGTTGGAGCCAAGGAAGTAGCTGCAGCTGCCTCTGCTTCAGAGTCTTTTTCAAAGTCAAAAACAAAGAAAGCATTGAAGAGAATCTTACTTACTGTTTTGATGTTATTTCTGCTGCAAGAGAGCTTTCAATACCTGTTTTTAGGTAGGTTACTAACTACAATTGAAATTGTTGTATATTCCTTAAGAGGAAAATGGAGGAAAAACGGGTAGAAAAGTTAGTCTTATTTCTTCCTATTGAATTCTCAATCAATTTAGTCTTCAACTTTGTAGACATTTATCATGTGTCTTGGGTTGCCCTGTAGAAGTAATGTTGTTGGCACACCTAATAATGTTTAAAACTGCATTCTGTTCAGAATCCCACTTTATTTCAAAGATAAGTTATGTTATTTCTATTCCTTTATATATCTTGGGAGAGAGGGTTGGAAAGGGTGCTGTTGGTATGTGAAACATGACAGTGATTTTCATGCACACAAATAGCATGAAGCTTCTTCTAACTCCATTATCTGATACAAGCTCTGATTGCTTGTATGCTGGTTTCAATGTGTCATAATCTCATCTCTATTATTTTTACTTTTGGGTTTAACTTAGATTTTTAGTATTTTTCTTTTGTGCCATGTTGAAGGAACTGTCATTCAATTGCTTAAAGCTGTTCTTGATGTCGTTCCAATTGATAAGCTTGCTGTAAGTTATGTTATTTCTTTTCCTTTATATCTTATACTGGGAGAGGGCGTTGGGGGCCACTGTTGGTTTGTTTTGAAACATGATAGTGATTTTCATGCACACAAATAGCATGAAGCTTCTCTAAACCCATTATCTGATACATGTTGAATGATTGTAAGTTGGTTTCAATGAGTCATAATCTCAAATTTATTATTTTTACCTTTGTGGTTAAGTTAGATTTGATATTCCTTTTTTGTGCCATGTTGAAGAACTATCTTTCAAATGCATGAAGCTGTTCTTGATGTTGTTCCAATTGATAAGCTTGCTGTCCATTTCCAAGACATTTATGGGCAAGCCCTTTCAAATATTTTAGCATCTCTGCAAGTATGCATTCTTTCTCATTTTCAATCTCTTATGATTGCTTCTCAACATGTTCATTTTCTTGTCAAGATGATTGTCAAACACATGTCTTTTTGGCTACTGCTATAAGTTCATGCACGCATTACAAGTGAAAATGCTTTCCATGTTTTTATAGATGGGGGGATCAGTACCGTAGTTCATGGACTCATCAGTTTCAGGTCATGGAGGTTATCCATTTAACCCTAGAGTTTTATCAGGAAATGTTGCCACTGAGGATGTTGTTTACATGCTAAATGGACTTGGGGTAAAAACCAATGTGGATCTTGAGAAACTCATATCTGCTGTAGATCTTATATTTGAGCATTTGGGAAGGACATCAAGTTCGAAGACCACAGCTGCCTTGAGTAGGGAAGCAAAGTCTTGTGCTCTCAGTACTTCCTACCAGGATTTGTAGCAGTTAAAGACAATGACTTGTTTCAGGGTGCAACTTTGACATAAATGACACATTGAAACCTTGGATTGCTTAGGTTTTGTTCATGTTGAATAGGAAATTTGTGAGAGCAACGATTATTTCAAATTCTAATAGAATATTATGTGACTAATTCCAAAGTCATTCTAACACAAAGAAAGTTAAGCTGGAAGAAAACAAAGCTACAGTTCTTTTTATTGAATTTTATTAATTTCAACAAAACAAATGAACAAATGACATAAACCAAAAAATGAATGGCAGAAGAAACGTGGCATTGGTTTGAAGAAAGCAGAAGAAACAATTCAAAACTTGTGTTAAACCTAGACAAATGTTTTAGTAGGGGGAGTAAGAGTGTGACGCCTTATTACATTGTATAAATAACAAACAATTCAAAGAGTGTGAAGAACATAAATTAACGAGTTCATGATCCTTTTTTTGCCTATAAATAGCAAATGGACTTTGTGTATCAGTCATTTAAGACAGCATATTTTTCATCCTCCTGTCACTATTTTTCTCCTGTTTCTGATGTTAATTGTTGACCGTATGATTAGCTTCAACTTGATGCACTATGGTTTAGGATTTCAAAGCTACCGTATGTGATGAATTTTAGGTAATCATATGGATCAGCATTTGACATAAAAAAAAGGAGACAAATGTAAACGGAGAAGCTGGTTTTGCAATTTTAGGACTTCAAAGTCAGGACAGCAAAAGTTCACTATTCATGGCACTGCCCGTCTATGCCTCTGGTGCGTGTGAAAATTTGTGCGGGGAGTGGCATTTGAAACTCAGGAGGTTCGAAGTGTTATGATTTCTTGAGTTTAACTTAGATTTGGTCCTCTTCTTTTGTGTCCCTTGTTTGTAGGTACTATCATTCCCATGCTTGAAGCTGCTCTTGATGTTCCAATTGATAAGCTCTTGCTGTCCATTTTCATGACATTATTATGGGCAAGCCCTTTCAAATATTTTAGCATCTCTCCAAGTAAGCATTCTTTCTCATTTTTAACATCTCATGGTGTTTTTAGTTGCCTTACAAGTGGACTGAATTTGCAGCTCCTTTTCTTAAATCCCGTTTCAAGATTTGAATGTATGAATTCTATTTCAAGTCCCAAGTTTTTTACTAGTTGAGAAAATCATGGAGGCTTAATTTGTCTTGTAGTTTTTCATTTATATGATGGTTTTTCCTAACGCATGTCTTGTGCCTTTCGCAGTTTGGAAATGAATGTAAATAAATGAAGAAGGACAATAAAACAAGTGCCTTGCACCCTAGGGTAATCTCCTTCCTCTAACATACAAAAACATCATTTCACTTCAAATTTTCTTCTTCCTTACATTATAGGTCAAAGGAACGGTTTGTCATTGTTTTGTCATTCACCTTTTTTTCTTCAAATGTGCTCAATAATTGCCACTCTGGTTTAGCCTGGAAAATCAGGTTATCCGGAAACACTTGTATTTCTCTTATTTGGTTTGGTTTTGGTTTTTTGATTTTTCAGTTTTATATTTTGCTATGTGAAGTACATGCATAAACACTACAGCATGAGATTGAAGAAATTAATGTGTAATATGCGTTTTGGTATTTGCAAGAATTATATAACTGCTATGCTTCTTCATCCCCATCCATTGGACTTCACACAGTATATGGATATCTAGCATTTCTTTTCCAACTTAGATTGTTCATCGATTCACATGCTAGATTGTTATTATATCAGATTTTGGGTTAAAATTAAGCAACTTGTTTGAGTAATATAGGGAAATTGTACAAAAAAAAATTGCTAATTTAAAGATTATAAAAATCATTATGAATGAATAAGAAACCAAAAAAGAATGATGCCATAATAGGAAGAAAAAAGATAAAAGTAGAGAAATATTGCTTGATATCAATAACATATATCAAGTTATAAATACTACCAAGTGAAAAAGTCGATTATAAATTTTTTTAATATTAACATATTATTTTAAAATTAACACTCATTTTTCATAAAAAAATAAAACAAAATAATTGCCTAACAACTTTTTTTTGGGTGGAATGATTAATGAAAACGTTTTTAAAATAGGTTTATAGACATTATGGAATTGTGCAAAATTTTGGGCGATTTATAAGTTTGAAGTAAAAATTTCCCATAAACAGGGGAAAGATCGTATAAAAACAGCAGGTTGTACGAGAGAGGAGGAAGCAGGTATGGTGGACTTTGGGCTGGCAAAATGGAAAATGGGTACCAAATATAATGCGAGACCTCCCTCGTAATCATTCACCTCATAGAAACTTAAGATGAACATATGGTTCTCACACAGCCAAAATAAATATCAAATACTAACAGAATTATTCAAAAATCTTCAAATCTTATTTTAAGAGGAAATAGTGAAATACTGATCAAGTGATAGTATTTAAAGAAATAGGTTTTCGGATGAAGTGATTCATTCTCAATTTTATTACTTAGATTTAGTTGATTGAGAATTTGATTTTCATTAATTACTTAAAAAAATCCCTTATTCTCTCATAATTCCCCAATATTCAAAATTAAAAAAAAAAAGTGATGGTATTTAAAAATATATTTATTATATATTTGTTTGGTCTTACAAATATTTATGTTTATGGATGTAGTTATTATTATCATTAATAGTATTAAGTCAATTAAACTTTTGATTGTATTAAATAATATTTAAAAATATCAGTTTATTAACTATTTTTAATTTCTTAACTAATAAATATAAATTATTACTTTTTTATCTCAAAATAATTATTTTTTTATTTTAAATTTATTTTAAATAAATTATTATTTTTTTATTTTTCAATATAGACAAATATTGTTTTCCTACTTTAATCCTACTATTATTTATTCACTTTAATTAATCATCCAATCACCAAAAACCTTTTTTTTTGTCTTTTTTTTAAAAATAGTATTATCAATAAATATAAATATTGTTTCAAAATTCTTCATTTAAGGAAAATTTTTAAAAACAATAATTATTTTGAGATGAAAGGAATATAGTAGTTATTACTTATTAGTTAATAATTATAATTATTAATTATTTTTATTAATCATATTAAATAAAATTAATATTTTTAAAATAATATTTTATGATTTTAATAGGAATAATGGTGCCCATAATCTGGTGGTCAACATTTTTAGTGTACAATTAATATGATAGTGATATAAAGATAATTTTTTATAATATTTATACGTAATTAAATAAATTAATACACTTAATATTACATGTATCAAAAAAATAAAATTTTTTTGATAATTTAAATAACACTAAATATATACAAAATGATAAAAAAAAAAAACTGTTTTTGAATGAAAAATGATT